TCTCTTAGTGATGGACACCTCCAACTGACATTTTAAGTTGGTCTCTGCCAATCTGCAGTTCTTTACTGTGGCTCTCTGAAATGGACACTTGGTGTCAGTGTTTCTCACCCAGAGAGTTGAGAGTTGATTGTGACATACAAGTTTTTCATCAAAGTTGCCACTTTGTTTATGTTTCACAACACAGTTAAAGTAGAAAAAAGAATGATTCCTTAAAGCGGCTATGACTATGTCACACTATTTGCTATCTTTTTTAAAAGAACTAAAACCCATCTTCACATCAGGTGTTGAATTCTAAAATAATGGCCCAGACTATTTTGATACATTGAAACTGTTTCCTATCATCTGTTGCAATAGATGAAAAGGATGGACATGGATTGAAACTTTTCAAGTTTAATGCTAAGCAACAATCAGCAATGTTGTTTATTAAAAAAATAGCAGTAGGGGGTAAACATGTAATTGATTATACATTATTTACTTCCACCAGGAGAAATTGAATGTTGGTCATTTTTAGGGGTTAAAGGGTTAAGAAGGCCACCAATGGGCCATGACAGTGAGTAGGGAAGCATCACACTAAACCTATCTAAGATAGAGAGAGTTTTGTATGACCTTGAAAAATGGTTTCGGTAAGTGTTTGTTATTTGTTGTATCAGCCAATGGATGAAAAGATCAAAACGTGGACCCTTCATTTTCCTGCTAAAGAAAACCCTAAAATGGAGAAGGCATTGTTCAATTGGCCAATCATGTTGAAGTATGATGTCAAAGCGAAGTATCTATTTATTCCCAGAAAGTTCTCGGGCATGAAGTTTTTTCACACGAGCGTTTGCTTAACCAACCAGGGGCCATGTGTGTTTGTATCTGTTTGATAAACCAATCAAATTGCTCTATTTCTGTTGTTGTTTCTGTTTTGTTCATGCGTTTTCATTTCAAAGCCATACAAAAATTGCTCTATATTCATGTATTGTTATTACCAGTTTAATTTAGTTCCAACTATCAATCATGCGGATAGTACACTTATCACTGTAACACTGAATTGGGTACTTTTAAACAACTTTCAATGAAGAAGCAATATTTGTTGTTGTTGTGAGATTGATTGCATCTAATTCACCAACTAGCAACACTAGGCATTTTATTGGTGGTATTAGGTAAGGTACAATAATTCGTGAAGAACATCATCACTGGACATCCTTATGATGGTTGTTGGTCATGATTATGGTCGGTCATATTGACAAGGTTTGAGAATATGCAACGGACTGGACTTACATGTACGTTCATGATGCCAAAATAAGTACCGCAGTTTTAAAAACAAGTTATTGGTATATGGTGGGGTTTAAATGCAATGATGTTTTAACATGCTGAGATGTTGTTTTCAGGATTTCAAGAATATTTTATTTTATTCTTACTGTTATTATTTATTTATTGCACCTTCACTTTTTTACCTTGTTCTTATTTCTGTATTAATTTTTGTATTTTGTACGGTAGTGTAATTAGCATAATTAGTCCACTATTGTTGTTAATTGTATATTGTCCTTTTTGTGGATTACTGTACTAACAACTGACACTAACCCAGACCGTGCTTGTTCAAACACTGGATAAATACATCTTAGTAAAATCCAACTAGTGGTCTATTATCAATGCTGCATTTTGATTGGTTGAGCTACTACTAGGCTATATGTTACAGCCCATTAGTAGCGAAAAGTGGCGGCTTTTTGGCGGCAAAAAAGGATTAAAGTCTAGCTCTAACTAGCTAAAGTTGTTTTGTCTCGATATTTTTGACCAACTAGCTGGATTTTACTAAAACAATTATTCCTCTCGCCCTCATGGCCTCTGAGTCAATAGCCCATTCAGCCTCATGGGCTATTGACTCAGAGCCCATTCAGGCGCGAGGAATAAATATTCACTGGATTTAGCAGGTAAGGTTCAGGGAATGCGATATCCACTGGATGGAGATTTATCAAAATAATTGGAAAGCGTTATCCTCCTTTCGAACAACAGGGGCCAGTTGAATAACTCATCGCTTGCACAAGTGACAGACTAAGAGAGCACACAACAAACCATTTCACAACAACTTTAATTTAGAAAATTTTTTTAATTTCAAGTTCCTTGCAACACAAATACAGCATTTTCAAACAACCCCCACCCTCCTGTTCAATTGATTATGTAGTAATGACCCACATCACCTTGGGTTGCCTGTGCAGCCCTGGCATTGATAGTGTGAATTTATAACAGTATAGTTTTTGAAAAGAATAATATTATTAGAAAAAATGAATAAGTTCTTTGAACCAAACTAATGAGTATTCTTATCATTTTTAAGCAAAGGATACCTTTGAAGTTAAATGTTTCAGACAGAAACGGGGTACTAGTCATTAAATTAGAGATTCAAATGCCTGACTCTACAAACATTAAATGTTTTACCAGGTATTGTAATCTACATTAATTTTTTTGCATCAAGACTTTTCTATCTGTGTCTGAGTTAAGTTTGGAACAAAAGTCATCATTTTTGTCCTCACGCACAGCAGGATAATCTCAGTCAGTTGATTATTTGCTAAGTTTTGAGACCCTTGTGGATAGAAGAAGCAATCTTGGAGTGGAACTTCTTACTCACACCACTATGGAGTTATGCAACTGAGACCAAACTTCAGATTCAGTGGCTACTACAATCTAAATCTACTTTCCAATTTTGTTTGTTGAAAGCTATCCACCAAATTTAAATCTATAACCTAACAACCTCTCTCCTCCCAAAATAAATAATTTTCACTTATTAGTTTTGTGAGCTTCACTAAACTATTTACAATTACATTCCATTGTCGTTTCCACAAAGTTTAACTCTGTCCAGATTTGCTTCTATACACCAGTCCATAGAAGAAAGAATGTTTGTTTCTCAGCAACGCTTGTGGGGTGTCAAACTCGATAATAGTCTCTCGATCCATGACAAAGAACACGACACTATCCATAATGGTATTGAGCCTAAAACAAGGGAGATTGCATTGATTATTTGTAGGGAGCTTACACAAAGGCTTTTTTGAGCAATGAATATCAACCGCCGGAAGGGAAGGAATTTGTATTACTAAGTGTCTTTACTCTTATAGAGACGATTTGCCCAAAAATCTGGGCAAAACTACTACCCAACAATGCATAAAGGTCTACTTCTGGTGGTTGTGCGTCAACTGCACCTCAAAAACGTCTCTTTGCTTGAGATCCCTAATATTACCCACTTGCTAACAAGCTAAATAACTGAGAGAAGGGTTGATTAGAAGTAACAATGGAACTCTTCTGAATTGTATTAGTCTTATAAGCAACTTTCTAATATTATGTCATTAACAGGTTAGCTGTCCAAGGCTTTAGGTGTGATCTTAGTAGACATGAAAAGCTTGGAACGTAGCCAATATTCGAGAAGGCCAACTTTCATGGTACGTCCTTACTTTCAACGTCTAGTAACTGGAGACCTTGACCAAGAACTGACTATCACCTGCAATCGCGAGAAAAAGGGACTCAAACGCATCGCTTGGTTTTCGATATGATGCGCACGCGTGCCGCCTACTCACTGCAGATGATCAGAATTTGGAGACTTAAAATCACTTAGAAAAGCGAAAAACGTAAGTTTTTATCATGTGACCAACTTTTCCCTTTCATCTTCTGTTGATTACATGTACAGAAAAATTAGTAGACTACGTTCGTTTCAGGTTCACCCGTAAGGGGTTATATTATGTTTTTAATCAGTGAGCTCATATCCTAATTTAAAAAATGGTCAACTGACGTTTGCCGTCAGCCGCAAAACGAACTTTAATTCTCTCTATTAATTCAGAAAAAGAAAGAAAGGCAAACGATTTCGCTTATGGATCGTGTCTTTTCTCTAAGGTTAATTTTTTAGTGTACTCTAGAACAAAGCCGCCAACTCAACTGAGGGGTTTCAACTCTGTGTCAAACTTGAGTTAGCCGACTCGATAATCAATACCACATCATTTCTCGTTAGTATCAACGTATCTAACCGGTGAGCAATGGTTAAAACAGTGCTCTCCTTAAATTCACTTTTGATCGTCCGCTGTATCAGTTTGTCTGTTTCCAGGTCAACGCTTGCTGTTGCTTCATCAATACACAGCACCTGAGAACAATAAGAGAGTTTCCTAAGTGGTTGTAGCCTACGTAGCAGGCGCCGGTTTTTAAGGGTGAAGTAGGCCTCCTCTCCCTTCGCGTGTTCTGCTTGCGCGGCCTGAAAAAAAACTAACCGGCGCCTGCTTACGCAGGTCTAAAGTGGTCGCAAAAAAGGGAGAAGTTAACACCCAAAATTTAAGAGCGCAGAATGCTACAAACTAGGACAAAACTTGTAGAGACATTACTCGTACATTTTCCTTTCACCATGAACAGATGCAAACCGTCGCTAAATAAATGATTATCCCCCATTATTCCAGTGTTGTTTAGTGTAACCCTAGAAATATTCACGTTGGTGTTTCGATCAAAACAACATTGCATAGGGAAGGGGGTGTCTTTGTCCTGATTAGGCTAAGAAAAACATGGGAGAATGGCGTGAAATTAGAAAGTAAATGGAACTGTCTAAGACTTTCGTCCAAGATTGTAACTAAATACTGCCAGCTCTACTGAGAGACAATCATTCTTGCTTTTCCACTGCTGCTGAAAATGTAGAGGGCAATAGGATATTGCATTCCATATTTTGAACTCACTAACAAAATTCCAAAGGTTTTTCCAAGAAATATAAAAAATAATTTAGAGAAGGTTTTGATTGGCTCCTAAACTTACAGCATGTCTTTTTAATTTGAAATATGACTGCCTGGACATCTTGGTATTGGCCCCGCGAGGCAAGCCTCCGAAACAGAGCGCGAAGAGGGCAAAATCGGGTGTTCTTGCGCGCAAAATTTCCCCCTCCCCACTCCCTTTCGAACGCCTGGCAAAAAGGCAGGCTATGTTGGTAACCTGTAATTAAGAATGGGGTTGTCATAAATTGAGTTTTCAAGTTTCGTCAGAATTTTTTCCCCAAAGTAATTAATTACCTTCGATCGCGTCAAAAGTGCTCTGGCTAAACAGATGAGCTGCCGCTGACCAACTGAAAAATTACGGCCACGTTCACCGACATCAGCGTCCAGGCCCCCTGGAGAGATATAGAGCAGTGAAGAACTGAAATTCAGCTGATCCTCAGTTTTCGTATAACGCTTTAAAGCCTATTGGAAAGGCCACGCTCTAAGTCTTGTACAATTTTTTTCTTGGCATTTTGGACGATTAACGAGCAGCTCACGAACAATTGTCTAAAAACATACAACGAGACAGTTGTCTAAAAAAAATATAAAAACACAGTACTCTCGAAACATATAACAATCTCCTTTGTCATCATTAGCTAATGGAAGATTCCCTCACAAATTACCTAATCTGTCAGGCTCCTACACAGAAGACTGCGTGATTACAAACAAGTCAACAAAAACCCTATGTTGTAAACATAGCGAGTTGTCTTACAGCGTGTTCCAGGTGACAACGATCGAAAACTGTCCATAACTGCGAGTCAGAATGCTGTGAAAAGCAAAGCAAAAGAACGGACTAAACACAAACCTACTTGAGTGTCATAGTATTATAGTTCATTTCCTTTTCTCTCCCTACTTTGTTTAAAGCACTTCAACAGTTTCCAAACTCTCGCTGATTTCTGCGCAGGCGGACAGACTGAGAGTGCAAATACATAGAAACCTTCATGTGTTAATCTTTGATCCCAAATCTATTAGAACGTTTAACTATTCATGATTCTTTTGATCGGAAGTTCCCAGGCAAATTTTGCATGCACAAATAGTATAGAATACGCTACCGCAATCACAAATCTTTTTCCAGTGAAAGTTTACCTTCCCCCACGGGTCAAGATTATTTCGCACTCCACCGCTAAACAAAAAAGCATCCTGAGGAATAATAGCCAACCGCGATCTACGAAAAAACAGAAGACACAGAACTTATGTATGCCTGTCAAGATCAGAGAAATTAATTGAAAAACATTTAGATTAAGACATATGAACAACATCATCATCATCGACCTGGTACAATAAAACAAACGGCATTCTGCGGAGCAACACTACCAGGACCATAGCGTGCGCAGCTGTTGCGTGGTTTCGTTTGCCAAGAGAAATTCGCGGTGAAGCCGGGAGAGAAATTACCGTAAATTTATCTTCATCGCCATCCAAGAAAATGGCCAGCTACTAAGGCCATCATGAAAGTGCTGAAATCCGTTTTCTGTGCAAGGACACCAGAATTGAAACCAACTATACATACAGGGTTCGTTGGTGTCGGGTACCACACGATTGCAGCGTACAAGATTAAGTTTAATACGGGATAAAGGGGAACGCCTTGTCGATATTTAACCTTGCATTACAGTCGGAAGTAGTTACAGTGAAGAAACAGGCAGCACATCAAACTAGGCAGGCACAGAAATACCAACCGTAGAATGTTCAATGGTACAGAAGCCAAACTGATACCGTCTAGAAGTACAGCTCCTTCGAATCTGTTGACCATGCGAAACAGTACTTGGAAGAGACTAGACTTGCCAGATCCCGTTCGGCCAACAATGCCAAGCTACAGAAAGGAAAAACCTCCACTGATACGGGTCCTTCATTCTGATATTGAATTTGCTAGTCGGCCTCTAACGTTCCAATAAAGAGAACTAATTGTTTTCTTTATTAGTGTACTACATAGTTGGCCGTTACCTTTTCTCCTGCATATGTTGAAAATGTAACTCCGCGCAAAGCACGAGGCAAACCAACTCTGTCGGGACAAAGAAAGCAAAAGAAAGACAATTTCACATAGTTAAATAGGCAATCTTTTTCCGCGAAGACGCATTCCAGAGGAACGGGCAACACACATTTCGATGTGTAAATATGGCACTGAGATAGTAAAGACATAATCTCTGATACCCAAGTCGGTAACGATAGATAGAACAGTCAATTTGCCATAAACTTTTGGAAATGCCGAAAACTAAATGTCAAGTGCACTTTGGCTCATAAGAATTGTTGCGCGCTTCATACAACTAGTGCGCGCATCTCAGGGTTTCCACTATTATTTTAGCATACGTAGCAATCAACTGATTGATGTATATGTATTATGGTGCTGGGATCGAGTCTCCCGCACCTAAACAAACACTTTTTCGTGAGCTTGGCCTCAGCCTCACATTCTCCGCGTGAAGAACAGGAACGTCAGTTGACGACGGGAAAGCGCGTGGAAAGGACTGAACTCGACTTCCGGTGCCCAATATACCGCTTTGCCATTGGTCAAGCCAGTTGTTTAATTTGCGCGCCGTCGTCAACTGACGTTCACGTTCTGTTGCTAGATCAGCCTCATGTCTCAAGCGGGCACTTCGTTCGCGCTTCGTAAAACTGATTTAGGGGAAATAACCCACTATTTGGTAGTCTACAAACTGGTTAAACCATTTAGCAGTTACGGCGGCTTTGTTTCATCATTTATGTCTTAGTTATGAGATTAGTCATAGTGATTTTAAAGAGTTAATTATACGACGATTTCGAGTGCCCTTACCGATAAACAAGGCTGACTTTCTGGAAGGTAAGCTGACCACGAGAAGGCCAAGTGGAAATGACCTAAAAGTAAAATTTAATCTTAAAATACTTCAGCGGGCGAAGTCTGTACAAGTCGTGCGCGCCAATAGTTTCAGTACTCAAGGGTTTATCTGAGAGTTAAGTCAATCATGTACAAGACGTCGCAAATGTCTATAAATTAAAAAGAACATATGAGAGGGAGAAATCTTTGAGAGTAATCAAGAGTACAAAATTAGCCTTACGTCATATAAATATAAGAGTTCATTATATTCTTTGGAGGCGCACCGGAATCACAGGACATTGCTCTGTTCGCGTCAGGTGCAAGAACCTCGCTGAATTGTTGTACCAAAGAAAATGAGATATCTAAAGCACAATGTCCTACATTGTGTACATGTATTATTCATTATGTAAAAATGGTGAATGGTTAACTCGGAAAAATCCACGTTTTTAGCCGCGAAATTTTATTGAAGTCAACTGGTGATGTACCACCAGCCTGTCCTCACACCCCACGCCAAATATTGACGTGTTTCATTGTGGAAACTTCTCCTTGAAAGGGAAGGGGTGTCCGAGAAAGGAGCGGAAAGAAACGAGGAATGAAGCTGGTGGGTGACTGTGTCGTGTTCATAGTTACGTTTTCTGAAGTCTTGGAAGGCAGGACAAATTTTCAAGTAAGTCGCAAACAGAAGCAGAAACTTGGAAATTCCCTTGGTCAAACTGTTGGGAAGCCTTCTTGACAGGTAAGGTTCCTTGAACTTCCCGGAACACTGAAATAAGATCTAAAGTCTGCCAACGTTTGTTCAATAGCTCAAAGAATGGGCGAGAGCTAATTTTCCTCTCTCATTGATGCGTAAATGAAGAGTTTCCTGGGGAAGTTCTTCTGTGTTCAAATGTAGCCAGTACCCAATATCGGTTATTAGTAGCTTTGTGCTTGGCATGATCATGAGAGCCAATTTTTCGGTCAAATACCTTCCGGTCGTCCTTGAAAACTCTTTAATTTCATGGCTGTAGACAATTAAACTGTTTGTTAAAAGCACAACAAAAAGAGTAGATTCGTTATCTGCAATGCAAAGCAAAAACAAAGTCATTAATCTGAACCTTTTTTATTTTATGTGTCTGACTGACCAAAAAGCAAATAAACAATAAACAATAAAACGTGCAACTTGCATCTTGTTTTGCAACATTGCTGCAAACCTAGTTGAAATGTAATGTTTCGAGTTTTTCCAACCCATTTAAACCTCCCTTGTTGCACGATTACAGGCCGATAAGGCTGATCTTTGCAAAAGTCACTTAATGCCCCGCGCGGGGAAAAATTAATATAGCCACACACGACGCAATCCTCGACCAATCAGAGCACGCGAAACTCACCAATCCCCAGTTTTCAAAAACTGGATAACGCTTTCCACTGGATAAATCTCTATCCAGCCAGTGGACTACGCAATTGGTTTTCCTTAGACTTTCACGTGTATCCGGTAAACACAGCGTTAAGGTTTGAACAACCCGAGCCTAAGTAACGGGGCCCGGGGCTTATATTTTTCAAATGCCCTTTTTGGGGGGTTTATTTTTGGAGGGGCTTATATTCGGAGGGGCTTATCTACGGAGAGAAATTTGCGTTTCAAAACCGATTGGGCTAGCCTTATTCTTGGAAGTAAATTTACCGTTTTTGCTTTGTTTTACTTTGTATTTGAGAGCAATTTTCCAAGTACAAGCCCCCCACCCGGGGGGAAGCTTATATTTGGAGGGGCGATGTAACGGAGGTTTTTTTGCGTTACCGGTTTGGGGGGCTTATATTCGGAGGGGCTTATACATGGAGGGGCTTATTTCCGGAATTTTACGGTATGCTAAAAATGAACACAGGCCGTGTTGGGGATGAGAGAGGGGAAGCAAACAATTGAAAAAGAAACTCCTCTGCATGCACTTTCTACAACGATCTACGATCTGACAAAACTGCGTTTACTACGAAAAACAGATTGAACCAGAAGACAAAGTATCGCAAAGAGCAAGGCAACATCATAATGTAGTTTTTGTTCTTTCATATTATCTTTATGAACTAACCTTCAACTTTCGCTTGGCAGATCCATTTGTCCATGACGCTCGAAACAGCCATTTCGAATTTCTCTTTCTCTCCCTCTAATTCTCCTTGTAGCTCGTCTTCCTTCTGTTTTCTCTTCTCCTCGATTTCCTCTATGTTTAGAATTCGTTGCTCTCTATATGCTATCACCTTTTGTAGTTTCGACTTCATTCCAGGTTCCTCTTTAAAAAACTGGGTTAACAGTTGCTTGTTTGTATTAATACCGTCCGGTATTTTTGCTCTTCTGGAAGAACCGTACAAACTCCTAGGGAGTTTTTTTTCCAGAAGCTCCTTTTTCGTGGCTTCCGTGTTCTTTGCGTTCCGGTGATTTGCTTCTTCAGTTTCCTTTCTAGACCGGAAACTGTTCAGATCTTTATCCAGTTGCCCTGCGACATTCACTGTTACTTCCCTTATCTGGCTCTCTGAATGTAAAAAAGATCTTCGAAAAAAGATCCGATGTTTTCAAAACATGCGTCTACAGAATCTGTCTTGTCAGTGTACGCGATTATTAAAACCTCTGCTTGGCTGTAAAACTTTGTAGGTCGTTCAGTGGCATTTAGGAACTTCCTCACTTCTTCCAGGGGAACAGAAGGAAGAAGCGTGCGTGGTTTCACTTTCTCTAGGAACTCTACAAGATCATTTAACTGCAGTTCCTCAAAAACGTCTCTTAACAGCTTGATTGGGGTGTCTGGAAACAATTCACTTATTCTTTGCAGCCTGTTGGGGTTCAGTTTCTCAGGGTCCAGTCCAAATGCCTTGCAAAATTGCCGCAGAGAAGTCAGGTCATTTCGGAGTCTACGTGCCAATTCTTCCGTCACTGTACTATCTAAATCTTTTAAGCAAAGATTGAAAATGGAATCTAGAAAGAAGGGAAAAATAGGAAATGCGACTAGTTAATTTCCCCCAGCAGAAAAAATAGTGTAGCGAAATGATAAAAGCAGTAATCACCTCGTCGTTTAAACGAGTTCATAAGAACTCCTAAGTGCGTCGATTCGTGGGTAAAGAAATTACAGTTTCAAAAAAAGTGCTAACTCTCAGAGTGCTTTCTCTTCGTCAGAGCGAATTGATTTAATCTGACCTCAGCTAGCGCTCGTGAGGTCAGCGTCTAACCTTTCTTTATATTATCAACTCAGTAGATTAAACCAAGAGAGAATAACGGCTCAGAGAGGCCTGAGCCCTGTGTAGCCCTTGGGATATGTGAATTTCACCAAAGTTATTTTTAGACCAATTAATTGAAACCAATCGGAAGATAGTTTTCGGAAAGGTCCAAAAATTGAGGAATTAATTCAGTCTTTTCAAGAGATAATTCGATAGTTGCCATAACAATATTCTGCATTGTTTGCCTTGAGGCAGTCGCGCTTGAACTTGATGACGTGTCAATCTCACATATCAGGAATTAGTATCAATGCTGCGTTCTGACTGGTTGAGCTACTACTAGGCTATATGTTATAGCCCACTAGTAGCGAAAAGAGCCGGCTTTGAAAATCAAAACAATGGCGGCTGAATTACGTTTTGCTAGCTAAAGTTGTTTTGTCTCGATATTTTTGATCAACTAGATGGATTTTTCTAAAACAATTATTCCACTCACCCTCATGGCCTCTGAGTCAATATAGCCCATTCAGCCTTTGGCCTCATGGGCTATTGACTCAGAGCCCATTCGGGCTCGAGGAATAATTGTTCATTAGACTTCAGTTTGAATACAACCTCTAACAATAACTTTAGTGAAATCTTACCGCTGGCTTCCTCAGGTCCGCCAAGTTCAGAAGGAACAGCATGTGATCTCGATATTCCACTGTCGCTTGTTTCTTTTGTGAAGCTTTGAGTATCGATATCCTTGGTTTGTGCTAAATAACTCTGAATGTAAGCGACTTTCTCCTGCCACTCCTCCATCTGCACAACAGGACCTTTACATGATAGAATTAAACCAAGTGTAAAGGAAAACAAAATAATGAACAGAACTCTCTCTGTCTCCTAGACAGAGGCTCCCTCAGGGATTCCATGAAAAAAAAAACGATAATAATAAAAATAATTATTGTAGACGCGCGGGGAACGTTGGAAAGAGGGAAACGAGTCCCTACTGGCGCTTTCTTTTTCTCTCTTCTCAGCCTCCTGAAACCCAAAGAAGCTTCTGCATGTGAAAAGAGAGCCAACTGACGTAAGGAAAACAGACGATCCAAAATACCCATCTAATCATGTAGTGATTTTTCCGGGTTCAGTGCTACCCAAGTTCACAACAAAAATTAAAATGATTTTCCTCTTCTAACACTTTTCTAGTTTGAAAGATGAAATTACGTATCATCCGTGCGTTAATGTTAACTGGAAAACTAGAAAAAAAAAACACCTTGTGCTTCTCTCATTAACTCCTCACGGGCTTTATCGTATTCCTCTTCGTCGATGGTCACAATCACTTCCACTTGTTCTTCCCCGATAAGTTCTCTCAATTCATCAATGAAAAACAAAGCTTGCAGGGATTCCTTAAGCGCCCCGTCTGTGTATAAACACCACAAGGTGTTAAGAGCTGAAATGTTTTCGGCTTGAACTTTGAGGATCACGCTCCCTTCAGCTATTTGCATCAGTTTAACGCCAGCAGGAAGGACGCAGGTATTAACAGCAGTTACGAACTGATCATATGTGCAGCCACGCCTCAGTAGCTGATAGGCAGACGCTATAATTGTACCCCCTGCAGCCACTTTGAACAATGTCTTTATGTTCAGAACTGAAAATCAAGGAAGACAATAACAATTTTAAGCCAAAATAGTAATAAAGTCTCAAAAAATGTCCTCTGAACTCTTTTTTAAACAAACAATGCAAGACTTGACCCCGGGGGTACTCCTTTATATAAGCTATATAGGTATGTTCTGGCCCATCGGGTAGGGTTTTTGCGCCGTTTTGGTCTGAAAGCGGGTATACACGTTGCCCATTTTGGTCTGGAAACGGGTATGGTTTTTGAGGGAACTACAGGAGTGTATGAACGTATTCATCGTTTCAATTCCAACTGAGTAAGAAAGAAAGAGAAGTATGCGAACTCGAAACGGATTTGAAGAATTTTTTTGTTTGCGCTCTAGTCTAAGTACAGTGATAACATAATTTCTGTCTAAAGGTCAGGTCTGAAAACGGGTATGGATTTTAGAGGTCTGGTCTGAAAACGGGTGTGGGAAATTATATTTTTTGGTCTGGAACAGGGTCAGGTGTTGGAGGACCGGGCGGCACACCCCCACCAAGAATTCCCAGGAGTACCCCCGCTATGTACTTGATTTGCAGGAGTGGAAATCTATGAAAGGCTATATGCCATAACCGAGTCTCTGCGATCAATTAAATCTGTTTGATAGGCAGCCAATGGAACTGGCGCTTGAGCGTGCGCGGCTTTCTCTCTCTCCAGATGTTCATTGACCGCTTCCACGTTCTTCAATTGCGCACTGAAAAGTTCAGACTGTTTTGAAGTCTATCAGCTATCTGATCTGAAGAAGCATTAAAACCAAGATATAGCTATGACTGAGAGTCCTAAAATAGGTTCACTAGTCGTGAAATGTTAAACAGTTTGCCAGTGTCTAAATATTTTATATCAGTACTAAACAGAAGATCTAATCAATCCTAACAAAATTAACATATACTTGTCACTTATGAGAAAAATCACCGGACTGAGATCTTTGTCTCTATTCAAGAGACCGTGTCTTCCCAGCGGGGGGCGGTGGAAATCCCGTTCTGTGCATGGAGCTTAATAATTACGAGCGCAACTTACCTCCAGCTAAATTGCTGCTGGCCGACGACGCTATCGCAGCTGCTTGTGCTGAAATAATAATAATAATAATAATAATAATAATAATAATAATAATAATAATAATAAAAATAATAATACTAATACTAATAATAACAATAATAATAATAAACTCTTTATTCATCAAAAGATAAAAATACATATCTTTCGTTACAAGAAAGTGTAAGATTTTAAAAAGGTAAAAAATGAGAATTAAAAAATCTAGTATATTGCATAGCTAATTCATATTAAAAACTCAACGATTAATAACTAGAGCTTTTAAAACGCATAGTGTTAATCTTAGGTCTAAAACAAGTTTCTTTCCTAAGACTGTAACTGGACCACTGTGGGTTCAACACGAGGCATAATAGATAAAAGTGGATGTCCTTTAGCATTAGAAACTTTTCTGAGAATTTTACGGTCTTGCCTCTCTAAGAAATCATAAACACTTACAGGCTTAGACGTATATTTCCTTTTAAAACAGCGGTCTAAGAAACATTGTACAGGTATGTAAGATCGGACTTGGACGCGGGGTAGACAGTTCGTAATTAATAATATTACATGACTTAGGTAGAACAATTTAATTAAAGAGAAATGAAATATTTCGTAATTATATATTGAGACAGTAGACATTCGTTTGGTCCCTCTGAGTACAAAAAATGGTCCTAAAACAGGTTATAAGGGGGAGAAATAAGTAGAATCAGTAAAAACCGCCGCGACGGATCGTGAGGATATACCCAAAGAAGAATCTAGAACGGTAACAATACCTTTTCGCCATTCAAATTCTTCCTCTTGGTTTTTTCCGTCTTCAAATTCCTCCACTTCCCGAAGTAAATCAGTTTTCTCCTGTCGGGTCAAAATCTCCTTCAGGACTTCAAGGTGATCGATCCCTAAAGAGTCATTGTTTTCCAGCTCCTGAAACAGTGATCTAACATCTTGTATGCTGCTATGCTTTTCTTCCGGTATCCGATCATTGCAAATGGCGACAAGCTGTTCGAGACAATCGAGCTCGTCTAGAACATGAATAATTCTCTCCAGCAAGCTGTTGTATTCCTTTCGTTTACTCTCGAACGATTTGACATTCCCAAAAAGTGACCATTCTTCAAGGCCTTTTAAAAGATCTTTTAAAATATTCAATTTATCTGCACCAAGAAAACCATTCTGCTCCAACTCTACAAACAACGGGAAGACATCTTGCATGTTTTCTTCATCGCGAGGCGCCACCTTCCCTCTGAACATAACAAGCAATTGTCTTCCTACATTCAGCTCGTTCAGTCTCTCGCTTATTTTGAAAAGCAAATTATTGTATTCTATAGCAGACATTTTGAAGACCAGACGTACTTATTCAGGTCAACCGTCTACCCAACCACGGTACGCGAAGCGTCAATTTCCCTCCGTTTGTGACGCGATAGAAAAGTGGACAAATCTAAATGAAAGGTCACGCAAGACGAAGTTTTGCAAATATAGAGTATATATATATATATTGACTTACCATTTTTAAAATACAAACTTATTATCATACATTACCATACCCCAAGACAAAGGATCGAAAATAAAACTTAAGCCACGTACAACATTAACACAAAGTAAATACCAAGCAAACTTTCGGTAATCGTGTGGGGGTGTGTTCGAGCAACTCGCTCGCTACACGACGAGGTACCAGGAATCTGATTTACATCTTTCTTTTATTCTTCTTAATCTTCTTACAACTTCTGCTTACTCTACTACTACTCTGCTTCTCCTACATCTCCTCTATTAACTTCTAGTTCAAGTATAGTAGCGGTTTTTAATAGCCAAAGCTGGACATGTTTGGGTTAGCTGACCGGAAGAGTTTCTATTGTATTTATTATCGCTAACACTGCAACAGGTTTGCTATTGTCAGGGAATAGATTAGCCTACGCACAGCCGCAGCTGATAATTACCAAAGAACGAAGGTCAGCTCTAACACCACAAACACGACCACCTGTAACAGTGCTTCCCTGCTCAGTCACTTTAATATGAATAAATCAATAAACCAGGAAGTTTCGTTGTCATTTTTACACCGCAATGATAGATTAACCTACCCTTTAATGTACTTTAACTTTTGTTTAACTAGTGAAATCCCTATCCTTTACATCGTAATTTTCCCTGAAAAAAAAAAGCGATTAAAAAGGTACCCTTTTCGTGTGGATTCTCCCCTTATAGGCTGCCATTTAATGGAGTAATTCCCCCGACAGCTCCATGGTACATGCATGATGATCAATTCTAATAATTGAGAACGTTATCGAATTCAAGTACAGTCGAACCCCGCTTTACGGACACCCACGTAATACAGACACCTGGGTATTACAGACAGTTTTCCTTGTCCCTGGGGAAAGCCGTTACATCTCCTCTAAATTCAACCCGTTTTATAAGTACGGACACCCCGTTAATACGAACATGTTCTAAGGTCCGTATTAACGGGATTTGTCTGTATACTGGCGTGACCTTAAACCAATATTATCAAACCCCGTTAATACGGACACTGAGGAGACATTAGAAAGTGTCGGTATTAACAGGGTATCCGTATTAAGCGGGTTGAATTTAGAGAAAATGTAAGGGCCAATGGGATAAGAAAAACTTTCCTTATTAACGAGCTGTCCGTATTAAGCGGGTGTCCGTAAAGCGGGGCTCGACTGTGCCACACCTGGCATGATCATATCTTGACCACTTATAACGTCAATTAGGTGCCTTTTTTGTCAGTGTCTTCTTTCTCTTGGTTCCGTCTCCAAAATTAATCGTTTTCTCCCTTGACATCTGTTCAGCTGTTCGCACCTTACGTAACGTAAACGAAAAACTCACCAAAAACAACGTCTACTACCCAGGCTAAATCAAACATCCACTCCCTGTTTATTAACGTCAATTAGGTGCCTTTTTTTCGCCTGTGTCTTCTTTCTCTTGGCCTTGTCCAAATCGTTTCCTCCTTTGACATCTGTTCAGTTGTTCGTACTTTACGTAACGCGAACGAAAAACTCACCAAAAACAACACCTACTACCCAGGTTAAATCAAACATTTACCCCCTTTCAGTTATCCGGGAAGGTATTCCCGGAAATTTTTGGTTGGAGTCTGCCGCCTGGTTCTTCATACCCTGTGTGCGAGAGGCTTTTCATGCGCGGTTTCCGGTTTCGGTCAAGTCTTAAAAAGTGACCTCTGGTACCCAGGGTAGGTTCTCCGAGTTCTGAGCCAATTTCAGACTGAAAAATGATATTTTCAACACCCGTTTTCAGACCTGGTATAGGTAGAAATTAAGTCATCATTCTTAGACTACCGCTAAAACAAAAAGATTTTCAAAAAACCATTTCGAATTAGCATGTTACTCTTTCTTTCTGATTCATTTGGAGTTAAAACGACAAATACGTCTATACACCCCCATAGCTCTCGAAAACCATACCCGATCGCGATTCCAGACAAAAATGGGCAAACTCTACACCCTTTCAATTCTTAAACGGGGCAAAACGGATACCCCTTTTGGGGCAGCACATGTCTTTATGGCTTTTACAAGGGGGTACCCCCCGGGCTCATAGGAGTAGACTAACCCCTAAAAAATTTAATATTCATTGTTATCATTATCGTTATCATTGTCATCATCATCATTAGTAGTAGTAGCAGTAGTACTACTACTACTACTACTAGGAGTATTATCTTTATTATTAATTTAATGAGTACCTTGATCAATAATAATTGGTAAATCTAGTATGGTTTAGCGGATATGTTTAGAGATGTTATTACGGATATTTTCTTAAAGAAATGGTCTCTCAAATCAAATGAAAACTCTAACCGAAATTTGTGATAAGCTCTCCAAGAAATAAATAAAACTGATAAAAAAAAGGTCAACAAAGCAACAACAGGCCTAGAAAAGCCGACCAGTGAAAAATTGACGATTCGGTTCCTGAGCGAATCGAAACTTCTGGATAGATACAGTCCGAAAATCGAGCTAAAATTTTCAGCTGATTTGCGATGCGCAGTTTTTTTCAAATTCGCAAATCCGATAAATCTATTGCAAAAGTCTGTAATTCGAAAAACTATCTACCCTCACCTCCTAGACGAACTTTTGAAACTCTTAGAACGCGGTGCCACATATGATTTTGGATAGTGCTCAGCATGCAAGATCTTTGCGAAAGCTTTAATGGGTGTCGATTGGGCAACTTTTCAATAATGTTTACGCACAAAAGAAAACGGCACCAGAATTCCCTTGTGGACTCAATTCCGTCGAAAAGTTCTTCCCCGAGGTCGGTAGCTTTTCTGGCGTCATAAGAGTGCATGTGGTAATTTTTTGACAAATACAATGAAAAAGATGGCGGGAGTAAGAAAAAAAAGGTAACAGAAAGTAGCCTTTACTTTTAAAACCTCTTTATCGTATTAAATTTAATTTTGTTAGAAGAGTATTAGAAGATCGAGGGACGCGAATCGTGCACGCATTGCTGGCCGCAAACCCTAGTTGCCGTGAGGCTCTGGGAACCAGAACGGAAGCGGCGTAAACGCCATGATGTTCCATTGATGAAAAATTGCTACATTTTTTACCATTTTATGAGGAAAAATGCAAGAATAATGTTATATCTTGTCGCTGCTGTCTTCGTAATACTTATTCACTTCTTCTGTGGTTTTTAAAGGCGGACTTTGTCGCTGAGGTAGTTGGGAAATATTGCTGAATCCTGCTGAAATGACCCTCGTGTTTCCGCAATCCTCAAGAGATGACCCCTGAAACTTAAATTGTACGAGGCTGTTCACAGGTAAGATAAACATATTTTCCAAACTATTAAATTTTGGTTGGGCTGTAAAGAGTTGTCCTTTTAGTTTCTGAAACATTTAGTGAGCAGTTTCTAAATACTTGGCAGTGTTTATTGCTTATGTTTGTCGCGGGAAATTCAAATAGACCATTTCGATCACAGTTATGGGCTTAGTTTCCCCGTCTTTGAGTGAAGGCAGACGTTGACCTTGTTTTGATACAAACCTTCTTCCTTTTTTAAAGCAAATTTTGCTTATAAAAATACTAGTTAGCATAAGGACAACATGATTTACATAATAAAGCAGGAAGGGCTGCATCAAAACATTAACAAGGTCAACTCCAGTCTTGTTCCCAACTTGTAACTGTAAAACGGGCTATTGAAGAGTTTTTAACTAACTTTATAAACACAATGGAATTGACCCCAGTTTTTAGTCTAAAGTGCAGAGAGAACACACATGATGGTAGCGGATAATCCTACAATGTAGTTGGTTAATACCACTTTAGGTATGCCTTTGTTTTTTAATAATTTATTAGCTCTACTTCAAGAAAACACTGGGTTACACTGCACTCATGGATGTGCCATGTAAATTACAAATGTTTGTTAGCTCTACCCAAAGAATATATTGGGTTACACTGCAATCATAGGTGTGCCACGGAAATTAGTTTTGGACAATGCTACAGTAGAACCCAGGTAACTCGAACTCTGTTTGAAATGAAAAACAGTTCGAGTTAGCAAGGAATTTGAATTATCGGGGTAAATTCCAGTGTGGTCTTGATCAAGGGGAAAAAAAACTAGTTTGAGTTAGCAGGGAATTCAAGTCATCTGTGTTCGAGTTATCGAGGTTCTACAACTGTACTTCCTCTGGCTGGTAAAAGGTAAAAGGTAAAAAATATGCACCACAGAGGTGTACGTTTCTGGGGACAGGCGGGTAGTGGAGTGCGGGAAATGGCCCCGCTCTTGCCGGGAAATTTAGGAGCTAAGTTCTCTAAAATGTCATTTCCTAAATATAAGACCTACTTTACCCAAATTGGCCGTTGTTACCTTTTCACAAGAAATTAAAACGACTGATTTCAATAGTGTCTTCAATGTTCTCTTTCCAAAATGCATGGCACATAAAAAGAAAAGCTGTGTATACTTAAGTAAGTCCATATATTCATTTATTTTCTTGTGGCATATGATAACTGGATTAGATCACATTTTACCGGTTACCTCCTGATAAGGAGAACACTGGTTACATTGCACTCATGAGTGTGCCACCTAAATTACAGCCCAATTTGTTTGTTAGCTCTACCTGTTGAAAACATTAGGTTATATTGCGCTCATGGGTGTGGTGCCTATTATAACGTACAGCCTCAGTGTTTATTAGCTCTATCTCAAGAAAACACTGAGATATACTTTACTCATACCTACTTCTGCCCTTCGAACGTCTGTGTTTAGTTTAGTCTGTTGACTACTTTCTTTCTCCTCCCACGTCCCTAGCTGCATATTTCTTGATTCAACCCAAACTACCTTTTTTACCCTTTTTATCTTTATCTTTTTCTCAGACTTAAAAGCAGGCTATTATTTTGACGGTTGAA